CCTGGGTCTGTGGCCCTACCTGCAGCCAGCTGCCACTCCCCTGGGGGTTCAGTGTCTACATCCACCAAATGTGGGGGTCGGCTGGGACACCCTTTCCAGCCCCAGAGTTCTGTGAGACCATGATTAGGTTAGGTCCACATGGCTTGTACCACGGGGTGAGGAGGGTGGCAGAAGCAGTGTTTTCGGAGTCTAGGAGGAGAAAAGATTTTAGAACAGGGAGGGTGCCTACCTGTATCTGCTGTCGGTGCCAGCAAGTGTCAGATCCCAGCTCCAGGAAGAGGGCTGTCCTCTCAGGTGCTAGGCAGGGGTCCCTGTGGGGCAGGATAGAGCTGTAGGAATGTCCTGACAGACCCCCTGGGCCAGGACCTCTTTACCCCACACCTTGGGAGCTGCCAAAGGAAGCAACCCCAGGCCTGCTGGCTGCCTGGACTGGAGTTTGGTCAGTGGTTGGGGACCTATATTGTGAGAAACTTAGGACTTTGTCCACAAACTGGAATTTGAAATTTCAAAGGGGCAAAACTGAAGGGCCCTACCCCAGAGTGGAGATGGCTCTTGGCTTCTTTCCCCCACGACTTTTGTTCTTTGTCTTGATAAGTCCCTGGTTCTCACACTGAAAGTGGTGGATGGGGAGAAGAGATAGGAGATAGCAGGGTAGTGAGCACCTGGAGAAAGCGAAGGTGCCAGGCAGCCAGAATAGCCAAGGTCTGGAGGATGCCTCTGAACTTGCTCATTCCAGGGACAGGCTACTTTGCTTCTCAGATCCCTGAGCTCCTGGCAGGAATGGGACAGTGGACCCACCAGCCCAGTGCTCCAGAATCCTGGGAGTTTTTGTGGGACCCAGGATGGAGGCAGCATGTGGGGGTTGAAGCCTTCAGCTCTGAAGTTAGCCTCCAGCTCAAATCACAGCCCATCTTGTGATGATCTGCATGGCCTTAGGCAGGTCACTTCACCTCTTAGAGTCTCAGTTTTGTCATCTGAAAACGCCGAAGAGGGAAAGGTTCTTAACTCTGGGCCTAGCACAGACTCTCTCTAGGAACATTAGCCATTGTTATAACTTAAAAGAAAAAATGATGTGGTTCACAGTGGCAGCTCCCTTAGCCACTGTCCTCACCAAAGGCTTGAGTGCCCTGCCCACAGCTGGGTCAGCAGCAACCCTTCCCCAACACCTGGCCATCCAGGGCAATGCTACAAGCCACCCCTCCTTTCCTTCTTGAGGCCTTGGTCTCTCCATCTGCAACGTGAAGGAGTTGGGCCTCTAGGTGAACTCAGGTCCTGTTATCCCCTGGGAGCTGTTGTATGCCGAGCAGGGGTCTGACGGCTGAGGGGGTGGAGCAGAGAAAAAAGGCCTGCTGAGGAGCATTTGAGACCTTGATCCCGAGCATATGGCATTAGTTTGGCTCAAATAAACTCCTATAAAATTTATTTTTTAATGAAGGGCTGCTCTAGCTGGTTCTGTCCAGTGGTTAGAGCGTCGATCCACAGACTGAAGGGTCCCAGGTTTGATTCCAGTCAAGGGCCCTTACCCCAGTTGCAGGCTCGATCCCTGGCCCTGGTTAGGGCCCATGTGGGAGGCAACCTGTAAATGTGTCCCTCTCACATCAATGTTACTCTCTCCCTGTCCCTCCCTCTCCCTTCCACCCTCTCTAAAAAAAACCAGTGGAAAAAATATCCTCTGGTGAGGATTAACCAAAAAAACCAAACAAACCCAAAACTTAAGGGCTGCTGAGTTGATGGTGTTGAGGCCAGGGTTTGCTCAAAGTTCGGCGTGCCATCCCTAGGAGCTCTCCTGTGCATAGGTCCTGATTCCCACAGATTACGTGACCAACTCACAGATTCCCACAGATTGTGTGGTCAAGAGTCAAACACCAATGACAGCAATCACTACTGTTGCCCTGTATGCCTACACTTGGCCATTGTATTCCAACTGTCACTGTGAAGAAGGTATCAGTCCATTTATCTGATGCCAAAACTAAGACAGAGAGGTAGAACCTGAGGTCACAGAGTGTAGGAAGCTGGTAGTGCCTGGATTTTGACCCAGGCCTTTCTGATTTCAGGGTCTGTGATTTATCCTGTAAGGCAGGGGTAGGGAACGTTCAGCCCAAGGGCTCCAAAATCATTTGGTCTGGCCCTGCCAAGGCCTCACCAAAGAGAAGCAGTTCCAGCCATCACATTAGGGCTGAGTTAATTAAATGTTTGACCAAATATAGCAGGTTAATTTTTAAGTTGATAATTTTGTATGGCTGGCAAATGATGTTATAAATATCCAAATGGCCCTTGGTAGAAAAATGGTTCCCCACCCTTGCTCTAAGAGGTTGGGGTTTGGGTGGGGCTAAGAACCTTACAGTAGAATCTCATTTAATTGTCACAACAAACTACAAGTTAGGCCCATTTTACAGAAAAAGAAACCAAGTCTTCAAAATAATAACTTGCCTGAGATCACAGAGTGAATAGATCTTATAGGTGGTAAGTTGTTTATATGAGGAACGTGTATCTAGAAGATATTGTTTGGGGTCAGCTAAGGGTGGGGTAAATTGTGTATGTAATAGTTTTATGTAAGTTGTATAGTTCATGAATAGGTAGATTTACTTTTGGGGTAGGTTGTGATGGGTGGGACATGGATAGGGTATGAAATAAGTTTCTGGAATGTGCCTCATAAACAGCGGTCATACATGTTGTACATTTGGTAGAATACGTGTATGTCATGGTTTATATACTTAGCAGCTTGTCATATATGGGCTGTTCACCTGGTAGTTTTTGTATGTAATGGGTCATGTGTGTAGCATGACATGGCTCACTCTAGTTGATCATAGACCTTATTGAATTCAATCTAAGATGTCATCTATAAGGTTTGAAAGATTGTTATTTTTGTTACCAATTAGACTCTGACATGGGAACTATCAGAGTCCACTTTTGGAAATGTGGACTGCACCTCTTAGAATCGGTGAGATGCTGTATGTGTAGGCCACGCATTGCTGGAGTGTGAGAGGAGTAGCTGTTTGTGGCCTGTCACAGGTGCCAGACAGGTGGCAGGACAGGAGTCAGGCCTTGGAGGCACCCCCCAGAGCTGCCCCTCCTTCCCCTTTGTGCTTTTCCCTTAGTTGGGTCTCCAGCCCAGCCCAGCACTGCCCACAAGGCCACTGGAGTCAGGATCAGATGTCCCGGGTGGGACATGGGAGGAACCCACCAGTAGGTGAAGTCGTCTTTTTCAGGCTCTTATGGAATTTCAAAGTGTGGGCTCTGGGGGGCACTCTCTCTCTCTCCCTTGGGGTCTTGTCCTGACCTATAGACAAATGGGCCAGGGTCTTCTCCCCATTTTACAGATGGGGAAATTGAGACCCTGAGAGAGATGTGATTTAAACAAAGTTATCCGAATGGTGACAGCTAATTCCTAAACCCGGGTCTCTTGATGACAAATCTACCCTCTCTTCTCCTCCCCATCAGTTGCTCCCCCTACCCCCAATTCCAGTTATCTCATCTCCGGGGTTGAAGATAGAGCGGGGAGAACAGAGCAACGCAGGGCAGAGAAAGGGCTTTTAGCAGTTGAAAGAATATGAGGAGGGTGCCTGCACACAGCCCTCAGCATACACCACCTCGCCCATTGACTTGCCTGTCAATTCACCCACCCATTTACGCATTTACTTGTTAGTTTACTCTATCAGTAATTCACCCACTCATCAATTCACTCGTTCACACTTTAATTCACCCTGTCTCTAATTCACTCACTCACTAATTCACCCACCCACTCACTCATTAATTCACTCTATCAGTAATTCACCCACTCATCAATTCACTTATTCACACTTTAATTCACCCTGTCCCTAATTCACTCACTCTTTAATTCAGCCACTCATTAATTCACCCACCCACTCATTAATTCAGCCACTCTCACTAATTGGATCTCTCACTAATTCACCCACTCTTGCTCATGATGTTACCAAATCCTGCCACCTTCAGCAACAGCAGAGTATTAAATCAAGCCCAGGACCCATGTGTGCAGCAGCTCAGGTGGCATTTCCACCAAGCCCACTCCAAAGGAAGAAGGTGGGTGGAGAGAAACGAGGGAGACAGGAAAAGGGGGTCAGGGAGCAGAAGGGAAGGACACTTGCTAGGCACTTTTTGGTGTTCTACTAATGCTATCTCATTTAACACTCAGACCACCCGTGAGGTTGATTGAGCCTCAGTTTCCTCCTCTACAAAATGCACACAGAGGAGAATCACTTACCCAAAGTCACGATTAGTAGGAGGTAGGCGCCTGGATGTAAATCCAGGTCTGTGGGGCTGCAAGCCTTGTCTTCCGCCTGTTTTGGGGGAAGGGATGGAAACTGGAGGATGACAGGGAAATGGGAGATGGAATCTGTCTGGGCCTGAGCAGCTGGGTGCTGTGGGACTAGTGGGGGCCATAGCGGGGTCATGTGGAGCAGGGCAGTGGAACCAGAGGGGAGTCCAGCCCCACCAAACTTCCTCTCCACTCTGATCCCAGGGGGGTGGGAAGCTAGGAGGGAGCTCCCAGGACAAGGATCCAGAAGATTGGTGTCTGGGGCCTGGGATTTAGGTTTTTAATTCATGAGCCATGAGCCAGCTTTATCTCTGTAAGAGCACTGAGGGTAGAAGTCAATGATTTGGGAAGTCACTGAGTTAGGGCGCCTTGCTGGTGGGCTCTCAGCGTCCCAGCATATCAGTTATCCAGGATGCCTTACTTGGAGTGACAATGACTTGGAGGGTGGCTGAGTCAGGGGTCAAATGAATGCTGATGAGCCCGCCTCTCCATCTTGCAGAATCAATAGCTGAATATTGGTGAGTTAAGGCCCCACCAGTTGTAATAGCACCCCAGGTGTGAGCCAGAAACCAACAAACAGCCAAATCCCTGTGGCCCCGCCCAGACTATCCACCAGTGGGGGAGCCGATTAACCATTAACCCCCACCCCTCCCCGGCAGAGCCTCCACCCCTTCTCAGAGGCTAGGCCAAGACTCTCGGGGGATCCTCCCAGAGGACAGTCTGAAAGTCAGGAAGGCAGGGAGTGCACCTGGGAGGAAGCAGGGGAGGGCGGGGGCCGGGACTCAGCCTGGAGCCTTCCGGGTGGGCATCCCGGGCAGGGCAAGCGACTGAGGTGCGGAGAGGGGAGGATGCGCCTCTCCAAAACCCTCGTCGACATGGACATGGCTGACTACAGTGCTGCGCTGGACCCGGCCTACACCACCCTGGAATTTGAGAATGTGCAGGTGTTGACGATGGGCAATGGTAGGTGGAGGCAGGTATGCCCAGGGATGGGGGTGGGTCTCTGGCACTCAATTTTGAGTTGGGAGGAAAATGGTAGACAGCGGCCAGGTTGGCCTGATAGCCAGCACAGGAGTTGCCAGGTGAAGGAAATGTGCCCAGGTACGGCGACCAGAGGCACTGGGTTAGGGGAGGCCTGCAAGAGCGGATCTCCAGCAAAAGTAGGTCCCAGGAACTCCTGCCAGGCCCTTCCCGCTCAGCGTGCCACTGGGAGTGGGGAAATGACGGTGAGCTCCCTCTTCATATCCAGCTTTAGTAATTGGGCCCAACACGGCCCCTTCTTGAATCCCTTGGGCCTGGGTCCAGGGAGATGGAAAGGTACGTCTAGTCTCTGGAGATGGTGGATAGAGGCACAACTGTTTCAGGATGTCTTTGAGACTTTTTTGGATGCATGCCCCACTTAGAGAAAAAGGAGTTCTCAGGGAAGTATTGCTAAATGAGACCCCAGTCAGTAGTAGGTGTGTGTGTGTGTGTGTGTGTGTGTGTGTGTGATCACGGCCTCCTCTTGGTGTGGTGAGTTTCCCTGTAAGGGGGTGGATGGGTGGTGTTCTAGGTTGGCAGCCATGTGCCTGTGGAAACCATTTGCATGTTTATGCTTATTTGTCTGTGTGCACCTGTTCTGTGTCCATTTTCATTTGTGTTTGTTCATTGAGTGGGTCTGTATTGGTTGGTGTTTCTAGACGTGCCTATGTTTGTCTTACGTACATAAGTGGCGGTGAATGTGTACATGTGTCTGTGGGTGTTTGCACACATATACTATGGATGTGGATTTGTTTGTATGCCCTGTGCTTCCTGGGCACACATGTCCTGCATGGGCATTCTGACTCCTGCTCTGTGTGTACCTGCTTGTGTACATGTGCACATGCTTGCACTGGGTGCCAGCGCTGTCTGGTGGGCACGATTATGCAGACGTGATGCGCAGGATTTCAACTTTGCCATTAGCCAAATAAGATTCTCATCAGCAACATATCCGTTTTTCTTTGAGCAGATTTTGTTGCTTGTATGTGTCTCTCCAGGTTTATACATCACTGAGAGCCCATCTGAAGGCGGGGCGGGGGGATTTCCTCCACAAGGAGGTAGGAGAAGGAAAGGGGCTTGGAAGCCAAGAAGTTTCTGGGGAGAAAGGTCCCTACCTGGTGGCAGGTCAGCCTTGAAGAAGTGGGTGGCAGCTGGCCGAGGTCAGCCTGCCACCTGCCTTCCTGCTCTGGCTCTGTGGCTTTAGCCAAGGCCTCTAAGGCTTGTGGTCAGTTTGGCTCAGCCAGAAAAAGGTGACTGCCCTTCCTGTGGTCAGTGGGCACTGTCTACAGGTCTCACCAATTGCTCACCTGTCCCTGCCATCCACTTACTGTGTGACCTTGGGCATGTCAACTCCCCTCTCCTGGCCTCTTCTATAAGATGGGCTTTATCACCCCAAGTCTGCTTGCTGGCTGGCTTTTAGGAGTATCCAAGGGTCACGTGAGGGAACTGAGGGAAAGACATGCAGGAAATGGTAAACAAGGAGCTGCTGCACTAGATGGGGTGCCATGTGACCCCCACAAGGACAATGTGTGCTGTCATACTCCTGGCCACCATCCAGCCCCAGGCTGTTCCCTAGGGCTGGCACCATCTACCCTCCAAAACTCATGCCTCCAGCTCCCAGGAATCCTTGATCCCAAGGCAGGGGCAAGCCCCTTGACTGGGTGTCCTGAAGACAGGACAGCCTTCTGCTCTGGAGCCAAAAAGATCAAGGCTCAAGTTCTGGCATAGATCCTTTCCTGTTGGAACCTCAGTTTCCTCATCTGTAAGATGGGAATAAATAATAGCACCCACCCCAGGGCTAACCAGAGGATGAAGTAAGAAAAGGTGCTTAAGATCTTAGCAAAAGTAACTAGTCCTGGCCCACCTGAGTCATCTCAGAAACTCTGAACACCTGAGAGAAGGGTTTACATTCTTTACTGGAGTTTGAAGTGGTCTGAGAGTTGGGGTTATGTTTGGCATACATCCTGGGCTGGTAGCTCAAAGACTCCCAGGATAGCTCCCCATATGTCCCCCATCTCAGATTCAGAATCATCAGCAGCAGGGGTCCTTGATTCAGAGGACCCAGCAGATACCTCAACAAGAGCTGCAATGGCCAGAATCATCCAGCACACCTAGGCCATCTAGCTGGCTCCTCTACTTTGCAGCAATGGTGATGACCCAGGGCAAGCCACTTGTCCTTTCTGAGCTTCGGTGTTCTCATCTGGAGAATGAGGCCAATCAGCTGACCCCAAGGGTGAGATAATATACTTGGCAGCATCCAGCCCATCTTGCCCAGGATGTGGGCACCCCTTCCCCCTGCCTCAACCCCAATGGCTGGGAATTGTGGGGTCAGCTCTTCCCAGGGGTCTGGGGAGGCGAGGCTGAGGGAGAAAGGGCACCAGCACAGCTTAACAATTATCCCCATCTCCAAGAATAATTCACTAAGTGGAGGGGGCCGCACTTCTGGGCACCCTTCAGAGTCTAGGAGATACTCAGCCAGACAAATGCAGGGTGAAATGCAGCAGAGTCCGCTTGCGTATGGAGGCTGGAGGTCTTCTGCTCAGAGTTTTCTTCTGCAGAAAAGTTTCTTTCAGAAATGCTGAGATAGTGCTTATTATGTGACAAGAACTTCACTGAATCACCACAACAGCCCTAGGGCATTTTTCTCCTGTTTTATAAGTGAGGAAAGGAAGGCAAGAAGTTAATTAATTCAGGCAAGATCACATGGCTAAGAGGTGGGCAAGTTGGGATTCAAACTTGGCAGAAGGGCTCCAGACTTTGTGTTCTTAACACAGCACCTTGCCCCTCTAGTTCTGTACTGGATGTTCCCTAGGAATTCAAGTTGGACTCAGGGTTTCTATGGGAACATGTGTGCTATGACTTTGTGTGGTGTGCACATGTATGCATTTTTGGAGGGAAATGGGACATAGTGTTTATCATGCTCTCCAAGAGGTGTATGCTTGGTGGAAGACTTTCTTATAAAAAGAGGGTTCAGCTACTGAAATTAAAAAAAAAAATCAAAACCACTGGGCCAGTAGAACTGCTCCCTTTACATTTAGGGAAACTGAGGCCCAGGGGAAATTGAAGCAAGGAAAAAAAACTTGCCCAAGGTCACAGGCAAGTTAATGGCAGCACCAAGGACCCCCAGAACCCAATTCAAAATCTTTGCCACCTGCCTGTTATACCCCTCCTCACATTTATATAGATGCAGTAGCTTTTGCCTCTGGGACAAGAGGTATTCAAGAGGTGCATACTTCCTTGTCACGACCCTCCCAGGGGGCAAACGAGCCACTGTCTTTGGTGTATGTCTTCTCATTTCCCAGTAGAGTTGGCAGGGTCAATGGGCACTAACTTGAGACCCACTCATCCCTGGTCACTCAATGAGAAATGAGGGGCAGGACCTGGTTCTGGGCAGATGCTGGAGTATTTGTCCCTTCCACAGCCCCTTATGCCCTGTCAATCAGGGTCTATAAGGGTTGGATGCATCCTAGAGGGTGGCCAAGTTTTCATTACTTCCCAGAGAAAGCTGGGCTAGCAGTCTCCATTATGGGACAAGTAGACCCTCACAAACAACTCTGAAGTCACCGTCACAACCATCCCTAAATTAGAGATGCCAAATGGGTTCTAAAAGGCTAGGGGGCTTGCCCAAGGTCGCTGAAGGAGTGGAAACAGCACAACATTCTGGCTGAGGCTGAAGCCTAGGGAGATCCCCACAATACTCATATTGGTTTGTAAATCTAAACCACCAGAAGATTGGGGCCTCCAGGATGTGACTTTCTGCCCCTCCTGAGTCCTCACTCTTTTTTCTTCCTGTACAGAAACATCCCCATCAGAAGGTGCTAACCTTAATGCGACCAACAACCTGGGTGTCAGTGCCCTGTGTGCCATCTGTGGAGACCGGGCCACAGGCAAACACTATGGTGCCTCGAGCTGTGACGGATGCAAGGGCTTCTTCCGGAGGAGCGTGAGAAAGAACCACATGTACTCCTGCAGGTGTGGAGCCCCTGCTTGGGGTCTTGATTTCTCCAGCTGGGAAGTGGGCACACTTGGGGTAATGTTCCCAGGGTCTGTTGTCTCCCTAACTAGGTCCCAGAGGCATCTGCCCTTCAAGGTCTTCAAGCCTCCTCTATTTTCTGAGGCCTCATGGATTCAGATGGGAACAGCCATTCTAGGAAACTCATTCATTATCAGAAAGCTATTGGCTGCCCTTTATTGAGCACTTACTATATGCAAGCACCATACTAAGTCATACATACCCATTGCTATTTTCCCCATGTAGCAAATAAGGACCCATGAGGCTTAGGATCAAGCCTCCGAGGATGGGACACATCCTCCAACATGGTGCTTTTTCTGGGGCAAATAGGCGATTGGCCCCAGGCCTTTCCATCTACCCCAAGGGCTTCCTAAAGCCTTGGAGATCACTGCTTTAAAAACATCTGTCATTCAGAATGACAACAATAATAAAATGATAGCCATCGGTTATAAGCATTTGCCATGTGTGGATACTGTGCCAAGCTCCATCCATGTATTATTTCCTCCTGTCAATGCCCCTCTGAGGTGGTTACTATTATTATTCTCATTCTATAGAGGAGGAAGCTGTAGCTTGAAGAGGGCTCAGAATTTGCCCAAGCCCACCCAGCTTGAATCAATGGCAGAGCCCAGGTTTATACTCAGGGCCCCAACCCTAACCACTGCGGAGCTCAGCCTCTACTTATATCTCCCTCCAGAGAGTGACTTATGTGGACCAAGTATTGACCCTTAGCTATATCCAGGAGCCTGATCTGGGCTCTGAGCTCTTATAGGATGCAGTGGAAATAGCAGTGCATTGATACTCAAGGGGCTAGGGTTCCCAACCTGGCTCTACCATCAGGCTGAGCGACTCCGGTCTACTTGTTGCCTCTCTGAGCTTCAGTTTCCCTACATTTAATAGGATAGGGTTGGACTCCATAGAGCCTTTCTCATGGTTAACTTGAGAAAACCCCTGCAATGAAGAGTTAGAGCAAAGAGACTGGGGGCCAACCAGATGGTCAGGGTTCTAGTTCCATCCTGGGAGCGGGAGGGCTGTTCCTTCTCCATCAACCATCCAAAGCCCTCCCCAGATTTAGTCGGCAGTGCGTGGTGGACAAAGACAAGAGGAACCAGTGCCGCTACTGCAGGCTCAAGAAATGCTTCCGGGCTGGCATGAAGAAGGAAGGTGAGCCTCGGCCCTCCCCCTACCACCACTGCCCCACCCGCACCCACAGCTCCCCACAGTCATTTACAACTGTGGCCACAACTTTATGACTCGGTGACAGGCCCCAGGGTGACTGGCTAATGGCTGAGAGAAGGAAGGGCCTAGAAATCTGACCATAGGGAGTGGCTGGGCTTGGTCTTGAGAAAGATTCAAAGAGATAAGTCCCTACTCTCGGCTACTGGGGTTCCCAGCCACCATCACCCCTGCCTGCCTTCACCACCACAAGGCAACCAAGTTGGGTGTTTTTTTCTTTATATACTATTTCAAACATTAAGAAAGATATTACAAATATGACATTACAAATGTCCATGTACCACCCAGACTCAGCAAATATGAGGGGGGGGGCTCTATTCCTGAGCTTCCTGACCCAGGGACAACTGCCCTGGGAGTAGAGTGCATTGATTAAGGTCTCTCCAGGCCTCCTGACACCAGCAGGCACCAATCATTAGGCTGGACTTTTCCATGATGGATAGTTCCTTTCATTCTTATGACAACCCAATGTGGCTGGCACTATTATTATTCCTTCTTTTCATGGGTGAGGAAACAGAGGCCAGAAAGGTTCAGCAACTTGCCTAAGGCCCCACAGCTGGTCCATGCAAGATCTGGGGTTTGAATCCAGAGCTTTGAACTCAAGTTCAGTGCTTTTTGGATGACACCTCCATGCTGCTTACTTTATGCCCTCCAGATCTCAGGAACATTTAAAAAATATATTTTTTAAATATGTTTTTATTGATTTCAGAGAGAGGAAGGGAGGGGGGAGAGGGAGAAACATCAATGATGAGGGAGAATATCATCCATAGGCTGCCTCCTGTACGCCCCCTACTGGGGATAGAGCCTGAAATCCAGGCATGTGCCCTGACAGGGGAATCAAACCATGACCTTCAGGTTCATGGGTGGACGCTCAACCACTGAGCCACACCAGCCGAGCAGGAACATTTAAAATCTTTTCAGCCCAAGCTCAGGAAGCAAAAATCTTTTAACTGCTTCTAAAAGCAACTTTTCATTTTCAAATCTCTTCCTTTTTCCCCTTAACTCAAGTTTCCCAGCTCTGGGAATAGCCCTCAGGCCTTCACTTCTATCCCATAGCTGTGGCACCTAACCAAACCCTTGGTCTAGTCCTGCACACCTCCTACCCCCATCCTGCCTGCTGAGCCTGATGAGGAGAGGAACTCACTTTGGCAGCCTCCCCTCCCCCATCTCTACCTCTGAGACCCTGTTTTTTCTGCTCCCTGTCTTCTGTGTCTCATCCTAATAGGGCCTTGGCTTGAACCATGAGCCCTTTTGGTAAACCTGGGTCTGCTGACCCTAATGAAGGAGTGGCCCCCTCCTGCTTTCAACACAATTCCGGTATCCAGACCTCAGTGGCTCTCCAAATGGGGAAGGAGGTTTTTCAAAGGGTGAATGCCACCCCATCCCCTTTTCCCCAGCCCAGAGTTCCATGGTGTTGAGCCTCTCACACCCACTCTCATCTCTAAGTTGGGAACCACTCTGTGGAATGAAAAATGCTACAAATGGGGATGTGATATACAGAGGTGGGCAAAAGTAGGTTAATAATAATACTAATAATATAATAAATAAACAATACAAGAATAAACTCTGTTTCTCATACTCACAACTGTAAACCTACTTTTGCTCACTCCTGTATGTATGAACAGCTGGTGGCAAGAGGAAGATTGAGAACTATAGCCTAAGGGCCTAACAGTCTATGATTCTCATAGTCAGTGATTCTATTACCTCATAGTCAAGATTTTAGGTTCAGCCCGGCCTGTAGTGGCTCAGCGGTTAAGCATTGACCCAGTATCCAGGCGATCAGGGTTCAATTCCCGGTCAGGGCGCATGCCCGGGTTGCAGGCTCAATCCTCAGTTGGAGGCGTGCAGGAGGCAGCCGATCAATGACTCTCATCATTGATGTTTCAGTGTCTCTCTCTCCCTCTCCTTTCCTCTCTCTGAAATCAATAAATATATATTAAAAAAAAAAAAATAGGTTCAAGGAAATGAATCTCTTGTGTTAAAATTTCATGCCTTGTGGCAGGCAGGCTGGAGAACAGTTGGCAGCCTTCCTGGGCTGTATGTGGCCTGGTCCAGCTGTGAGCAGCCTTTGTATGTGTCTCTTGTTAAGCATCCAGAGTCATTTTCACATGTGTCACTTCAGGGAAGTTTCTGTCCCATCTGGACTCTGTAAAATGAAGGGGTTGGTGGTGATCCCTCCCAGCCTTGTGAGTCTCACCACTGACACTGGGACCTATGTGTTTGTTGCCTGATCTTCCCCCTAAGCTGCCAAGGAGGCTTATCCCGGGTCCTGGAAGGGGAGGAGAGCACCAGGCCATTCTGCTTTAGCTTAGCCTTGAATATCCATTGCTTCTTGGCTCAGGGAAGGTGGCATCATGTCAGGAGGATTGGCTGATGACAAGTCAGTGTAGGCGAGTAAATGTTGGTGCTTATTTACACACCTGGGTTAAGATTGTGACATGTGTTCATGTTGCTTGGTTGCTTTGAGACTAGGCCAGAGTAGCAAAGTGTTCAGCTGCCACCGCAGTCAAGCGCTGGGAAGTAAGGGTATTACTAGTTCTGCCTAAGTCTTAGAGTCCCAACACCCCTCCTCAGCCTGGTAAGAACTTTCCGAAGCCAAGAGAGATTCTTGGAAGCCACAGGGATCAGAAGATTTGGGACAAGTTTTCATTTTTCTTTCTTGACAGTCTTAGCAGGATTTGGCCATTTAAACCCAAAAGTAGTCCCTGAGGAGTGAATTGTATGGTGATGGATAGTCACTAGACTTTTAAGGATGATCACTTTGCAGAGTATATAGACATCAAATTATAATGTTGTATACCTGACATATATATTTTTTAAATGTAGTCCCTGAGGACAGAAAGGCACAGGCTGCAAACAAAAGTTATAGACGAGCCAGGTGTATATGAGGCCATCAAATCTACTCCCCGCTACCTCCACTTTACAAATGGGGAAATTGAGGCCAGAGAAGTGATATGATTGGCTCAAGGGTGGAGTCAGGGCTAAAACACAGGCTCCCAGACACCAAGGTCCCAAGATTAAAACTGAGAAGGACAAGCATGGGAATCATCTTGGGTCCAGATTCCTGAAATTTCCTCTTGACCCCAGGGAAGGGCTCCAAACCTCATAGGCCCATGAGTCTTGGCCAGAGGATACTCCATGGTGGCCAGAAGTGGGTTCCCTGAAGTGCCAAAGACTCTGGGGAGAAACCTGGGCATCAGTGGGCCCAGCAGCAGTCGAGAATTCTTTCCTATAACCCGACACCTACCTGGGCCTCAGTTGGTGAACTGAGGACAAATGTCAGGCTCCTGGCATCGAGAACCCAGACCAGGAAGCAGGGCCATGGATGCAGGAGGTGTGGGTTGGTGGTAGGTAAGCCCTTTCTTGGAAGCCCAGCCCAGCCCCCCCTAGGCCCCCAAGCAGGGGTTCTCTGAGAAGACAAGCTCATCTTCTTCTCCGTCTCTGCCCAAGCTGGTTAATATTCAATAGAAGTTACATTAGGTCCCGGACCCTGCTAATACTGAGCAAACATTTGGAAAACATCACTCCGTGACTGAGCTCGCGCCGGGCACTGATAAGGCTGGCCTAACCTTGAGGAGCCCAATCCGCAGCTGCTGACGGCAGCCCTTTCGCTCAGCCTGCTCTCGGCGCCCTGGCGGGTGTGGGCAGCCCCGTGGGAGGGGTGCGGGCAGGGCGGGCGGGGCAGGACTAGGGCTGGGGAGCGGTTCTGGGAGCTGGGTCTCCGGAGAGATTTCTTATCTCGGGACTTCTGTTTTATCCCACTGACTCCTGGCTTCGTTTAGACTGTCTGACTTTCATTCTCTGACTTCAAGAATGTGTGAAATCCAGAGAAAGTTGAATAGGTGGGTCGTCAATGTTCCACTGAGAAAAAGGGTATAGGGTATGCCCAAGAATCAGAGCTCGTCCCCTCCAGCACCTTCTATCATTTGCTCGACAAATATTTATCGAGAGCACCTACTGTGTGCCAGGCTCTGTTCTAGTCCCTGGGGCCACAGCAGTGAAGAGGGAGAAGCAGGTTCTTTCTAGAGCTTTCCTTCTCAGAGAGAGACAGAGCAAAAAAATGGGCATAGAATTCTACAATAAGTGCCAAGAAGACAAAAGCAGGACGAAGGGCAGAGCGCGAGGAAGGAATGCCACATCAGACAGGTGGTCAGAGAGGGTACCTCTGAGAAGGTGACATTGGCATGGAGACAGGAGTGACACAGAGATGCAGCTAAGCCATGGGAGAAGAGGGCTCCAGGCTGTGGGAACAGCGGCAGCAAAGGCCCTGACGGAGAGGGGCAGGGTGTGTCCCAAGAGCAGTGGGGGCAGGTTTGGGGACAGAGTGAGGGAAGGGGGTCCGAGAGAAAGGGCCACAGGGAGGAGCTGTGACTTCACGCCGAGTGAGATGAGGAGGCACTGGCTTTGAGCAGTGGAGGGATATGACCTGGGTTTCACTTTTAGTTCACTGAGGGGGGCGCGGACTGTAGGGGCAAGGCCAGAGCAAAGGGGCCAGTGAGGGGGGCCTGGACCACTCTGGGGCAGAGAAGGCAGGGCCCAGAGTGGGAGCCGAGGATCCGTTCTGTAGGGGTTGCTGACAGCATGTGGGGCGTGAGCAGAGGAGGAATGTGAGAGAAAGAGACTCCGAGGCCGGGCTCGGGAGAATAGCCCTCCCTGTTCCCGAGATGGGAAAGACAGCAGAGGAGCAGGTTTAGGAGGCAGAAGCTGGTAGATGGGGCAACTGAGGCCCAGGGAGAGGAGGTGATTCCTACCGGCACGCAGAGAATGAGTGGCAATTCCAAAAAGGAACTGGGTCTCCTCCTACCTCATCCTTTCTCCTCCCAGCTTCAGCCAAGCCTCATTGCACAGGAGGCTTCTCAGAGTCCAAGGGACAGGGACACGGCAGCCAAAGGTCCATCTTACATCTCAGGCCAGGAGTGGCCTGGAAGGGAACATGCAACGGGGTGTGGGGCCCTGGTGGACAGAGGCCCCAGATCTCTGAGTTCCTGGGAGAGAGCCCAGCAGTGGGGCAGGAGGAGGACAGTGTTCCTTTGCTGTCTCCGAGGGTAGTCAGGAGCCCATGAAGCTCCTGCTGATGGATGAGACCACCAAGGCAGGTGGGGCCTCCAGATCCCCTTGCCCAGGCCTTCTGCCTCAGGGTTTAGGAATCCCTGGGCCATCTCATGCCACCCAGAGGAATTCATTTGGCTTGTTTTATACACTTTCATCTGGAAAGAAAGGGTTCTTTTCCAAAACAGAGCTTGAAAATGTAATCTAGACAGATCCGCTCTTCAATGCTCAAGACCCACCTAAAGCCCTCTGCCAAGTCATCATTGTCTTGCATAACTCCAGTGATGGATGGATCACTCCTGCAGTCACCGCATTGTGTTGGGGGCAGTCCTGGCACTTGGAAAGTTCTTCCACAAGCTGGGCTAGAATCCATCTCCCCTCCTTTCCACCAGCCGATCTGGGCTCTGTCCCCTGGAAGCACCCCTCCCACTCCCACTTCCAACTGGGAGTCTCCTTTGCTGCAGGACAGCCCTGCAGAATCTCTGTCTGGGTTGAACTCTCTCCCCTTGCACCTCACCTACTCCTCATCAGTCATGTGACAACCCTCCACTCTGCCCTATCCCTGCCCTCCCTCCTCACCCCTCTCTGCTGTCCTCACAGCCGTCCAAAATGAGCGGGACCGGATCAGCACTCGCCGGTCAAGCTATGAGGATAGCAGTCTGCCCTCCATCAATGCGCTCCTGCAGGCTGAGGTCCTGTCCCAGCAGGTACTGTGGTGATTGCTTCACCCACTGGGGACCCCCCCTCACTGAAGAGGAGTCTCACCCCCACTCTGCCTTCCCCAGCCAAGCCCTGGAGCAGCATCTAAAAGGACCCTCAGATATCACAGAGGGAAGCTGAGTCCAGGGTCACACAGCCAGTTTAGTAGCAAAGACAAAACTGGAACCCAGGTCTGGCACACTGGGCACTTTCTAGTTCATCCCTCTGCCCATGTTGTGCAGGCCAAGCAGAGTCTTTGGTTTCACTGAGGGCCTGAGATCAGCTTAGCCACAAGACGACAAAGCAGTGAACAAGTGGACAGGGTAGCAAACTGGGACTCAGCCAGCCTCTTGCTGTTGACCTTGGGAAAGTCACAGCACCCCTCTGGGCTGTGGTTTCTTCATCTGTCAGATGAGGAGGATTTTTGTCCTGCTTCTCCCCTAGGGCTGAGGGGTTCCTTGGCATTCTGAGGAGCTGGTGGCAGAGGAGGCAGGGGCAGGCAGCAGGCGAAAGCCCAGAGGGAGCCCTCCTTCCTCATATCTGCTGTCTTGAGCAGCATCCTTCCTTCTGTCCATTTTCCCTTGGACTTCCTCCAGAGCCAGGATGGCACCCACAGTCCATCTCCCCTTTTCCAGACATGGGAACTACCTGAGGAGGGGCCTCTGTGCAAGGTTCAGAGGGTGTGGGGCAGGCCCAGCCATCTCCAACATTTTATTTCATCTCCCCCCAGATCACCTCCCCTGTCTCCGGGATCAATGGAGACATTCGGGCAAAGAAGATTGCCAGCATTGCAGACGTGTGCGAGTCCATGAAGGAGCAGCTGCTGGTGCTCGTTGAGTGGGCCAAGTACATCCCAGCTTTCTGCGAACTCCCCCTGGATGACCAGGTGCGGGCAGACATGGACTGCAGGCAGTGGGGGCACTGGGCAGGAGGGTCCTGCAGGCCCACCTGGGATATAGCCTTAGACTGGTTTGATTTTATTTTAACAAAACACACAGAGTGCTCATGTGTCCTGGAGTTATTTAAATCACTTTGCAAACATTAACTCATTTAATCCCTCCAACAACCCTATGAAGTAGTGTTATTATTAGTTCCATCTTATAAGTGAGGAAACTGGGCCACAGAGAGGTTGAGTAACTTGCTCAAGGTCACACAGCTAGTATATAGCAAAGCTAGGATTAAAACTAGGCAGGCAAGCTCCAAAGTCCAGGCTTCTATCCACTGTCCTACTGCACCATGCACCCCTCTCCTGAGGGGATATTGACAGAGGCCCAAGGCAAGAGATCAGGAGATTTGGGCTTGAGGCCTGGTTTTAAGACTAGTTCTCTGTGTGATCTTCCTGTCTCTGAGTCTCAATTTTCTTATCTATAATTATAGATTATAGAAATTATAATACCTGCTTCAGAAAGTTGTTGGGAGGATTGAGGACATTACCATTTGAGAAGTGTAAATCATGCAATGAGCACCTACACAGTGCCCGGGCCACAGCTCGCCTCCTAAATGTCAGTTTCTTCCTTGTGTCCCACCAAGATGGCATAGCTCAGCATTTTCTTTCCCAAAGTACATTCTTTGGCATACCATAAATGTCCTGGGGGGGAACAAGGGGACTGTGG